CACAGTGCAGCACACGCACATGTGAGCACACAAAATGATTCATGACTCAAACCACGAGCAGCAGGAAGGTTGGACAGTCTGAGACTTGACCTTTGACCTCTCCTCCATCAGATCTTCCTCCTGCAGAGCCGGTGTGTTTCGCCTACGTGACCATCACTCGACAGTATCTGATGCTGTCCTGCTCCTGGGACGGAGGGGCCCCCAAAGCCTTGGTGTGGTGGGAGGGACCAGCGGGCCAGAGGCAAGCAGGACAGGAGAACTCCAACATCCTGGTCCTCCGCTACGGCACCGCCCGCAGTGGGAATCCCTACACCTGCTACGCCAAACACCCACTTCAGGTCCAAGCAAAGACCTGCAGCCTGACTCTGGGTCAGTGCTCCTCATGTCTGTAGAACCAGCAGAACATCTGTGTTGTTGTTAACAAATGCAGATGTTTCTGTGTGCAGAGGCCCCCGTGTTGCTGACGCAGCGCCGCGTCGTGTCTGTGTACGAGGGCAGCGATGTGCAGCTCACCTGCAGTCTGAGGTCCAACTACCTTCCTGCCACTGAAATCTCCTGGTTCAACAATCAGGGCGTGGATGTCCGAGACACCTCCAAGTACCTGCTGCTGCGAACGTCTGCGTGGGCCAACCTGACGGTGAAGGACACAGATGAGACGCAGGACAGCGGCGAGTACAGGTGCTCCACCTCCAACGCAGTGGGAGGAGCTGAGATCAACATCACTTTGGAGGTCAAGAGTAAGACCCTGTTCCATTTGTTCACAGAGGCTGCAACAGCTTTTTAATCATTTTACTGTAAGTTTTGTAACAATCATCCTCATCTCTGTCTTGTGTCTGTGTCAGAACACCTCATGCCCCCCAACGTGAGCCTGGTCAGAGCGGCGTACAGCAGCCGACAGCGCAACGAGGTGCAGCTGGAGTGGCAGGTCCAATCTGATGCAGATGGAGGTTGGACGGGGTTCTTCCTGGAACACCAGTGGGTGTCAGAACGACCAAAAAGTAAAGGAAGCAGCAATGGTTCCCTGGTTCGGAAGGAGGAAAGGGCTGTTTCCCAGGATTGGTACCGTGACATCGTCGAAGATGCAGGAGTCCGGAGCTACACAGTGCGAGGACTGACTCCAACCGTGACCTACCAGTTCCGCATCATCCCCGTCAACTACAGAACCATCGGACATCCTTCTGCAGCAAAGACTCCAGGTACAGTCAGTGAACAGAGACAGGAAGAGCAACAATTAAATTATTTAAATATTTTAGAGCAGAGAACAACTAACTCAGGTTTTAAAGGTGAGTTAGATGATTCATTAAACACACTGAAGCAAATGTTTTTTGATGATTGCTGTTATAATGACTCTGATGGATAACGCTTTTTGTTTTTCTTTCTTTTTTGTTAGGTGACACACACACACACACACACACACACACACACACACACACATACACACCTCACAGTGACATACACCTCATCTTCCCTTTGATCTCTTTCCTTTTCTTTCTTTCAAAACGTCCCTAAACTGAATCCTGTGTTCTTCTTATTGTAAACTACTTGTCATAAAACAATATGTACAGTAGAAGGGTGTCCTACAAAGTTAAACAGATGAATTAACAGAACAAGATTATTCAGTGAAGATGGGTTGAGGCCTATAGGCAGAGTCAATGAGACGGTAACTTTTAATCTGTCAGGATTATTACTGTAATTTGTGCTGAACTCATAACCAGCTGTGGAGAATAAAACAAAAGAATTTTAGATTTAACAAAGGTTTGAAAAGCACCATTATTATTATTATTAGTATAATTTCAGGGATTCCCCCCTACAACATTTACTTTGAGCAAAATAGATTTGTAATAGAGAAAAATGATGTGTTTTATGCAGAACTGTTGAGTGCGGTGGTTATAACGGCACACGTGTGTTCGGTAGAAAAACTAATGGACGTTAAAAGATAACGATACTTGCAAGACTAAATTGGCAGAAACATATTGGTTCACCACAAAAGTGATGAGATCCATCCATCCATCCATTATCTTTACCCGCTTATTCCATCTTGGGTCACGGGGGTCGCTGGTGCCCATGTCCAGCAATCACTGTGCGAGGGGCGGGGTACACCCTGGACGGGTCGCAAGTCCATCACAGGGCCACATAGAGACAAACGAGACAAACAACCATTTACTCTCTCACTCATACCTAGGGACAATTTAGAGTTACCAATCAGCCTAACATGCATGTTTTTGGTCTGTGGGAGGAAACCGGAGCACCTGGAGAAAACCCAAGCATGCACGGAGAGAACATGCAAACTCCACCCAGAAAGGCCCCTGGACCGGGGATTGAACCAGGGACCTGCTCGCTGAGAGGCAGCAGCTCTACCAGTTGCGCCACCGTGCTGCCCAAGTGATGAGATTATTAGAATAAATCAAATATTTTTGATTACGGTACGTAGTCTCTCACTTATTGCAGGGGTTACACCATCGTGTTAAGTGAAAATCCACGAAGTAGGGACGTTATATTTATTTTAGTATTTTTATATATTTTAAGGCTTTATAAAGCCTTCCCACTCTCTTACAATGTTCCAAACTTAAACTTACGTAATTTTAACAACATATGTATGTGTACTGTACTGTATTGCAAAATTTTATATGGGTACTCACCAGTGAAGAAACTACAACTTGAAGGATGAGGTCAGCTTCAGGATTATTTGTGACTTTCCTGCCAGTTCTGTGAGATTAATAGATAGATGTTACTTCTGATTTTGCGTTGCAAAACTATTTTGACCACATCGGTTTCTCTGCTAGTGTTCGCTTCTTCCATTGCTGTTCTTTGAATTTCAGAAGAAAGCAGCGGCCGGAAGCACAGTTGGTTTCTGGGCCGTGCAGTTCTTTTGACTTGTGTTAGTGTAGGCTTATTGAAAGAAAACTACAAAATGGCGGCGCCTATCCAAAGTATTTTTTGTTTGTTTTTGGTCCTATTGGTGGTTCCCGCTCTCGTCCGCTCCTGTTAACTTTTGATCCCGTACCGTCCCAATCACGTAATATTAAAGTTGACGGTCATGTGTCGTGTACAATCTTACACTGAAAATCCGCGAAAGAGTGAAAGTCAAACCGCGAAGTATCGAGGGACTACTGTATACGTAAATATTTTACTCAGGGAATAAAGTTAAATTCTGATTGGACTGATGAGCTAATAGGATGCTCAAAGCTTTAGAAACATTTTCCAGACTGATAGATTTCAATTACTTTCTCATTTGTTCCTGAACTTCTTTGGATCGCAGCATATTTAGCCTTTGAGGATCTTTTGGCATACTTCACGTTTCAGGCAGGTTCGAGTTAAGTGATTTCAGGATTGAGAACAGGTGCGGCAGTAATCAGACTTGGATGTGGCTAGAAAGATTGAACTCAGCTTTCCAAATGAGTGATAAACCAAAATTAATTTCAGTTTCAATAAGCAGGAGAATCAGGAACGGGTCACTTTTTCACACCGCTGTAGTGAAAAATACTAGATACTTTTGCATCTCTAGAATATAGCTTATTTTTTATAATAGGTAACAATGTATTTAGTGGAGGCTTAAAGCCTTAAGAAAAAATGTGTTACCGTATTCTTCGGACTATAAGGCGCACCGAATCATAAGGTGCATTAAGCGAAACAAAACAGTTGAACTTTATTCAACTCATTCATAAAAACCACATAAAATCAGTTTGAGGTCTGTAAGCACCAACATTCATACATAAGGCGCACGTGATTATAAGGTTCACTGTCAATTTGTGAGAAATTTAAAGGATTTTTAAGTGCGCCTTATAATTCGAAAAATACGGTAAATAAAAATATTTTACCTCCTGTTTTTATGAAAGCTGCTTTGTAAAACACCCTTCAGATGTGAGTGAAGAGTCAGTGATTTTCAACCCATTTACTTTTGGCAAATTCAACTTTGACCAACCTGAAATATTTCAGTCGTTTTTATTTACAAACTCATTTCCATGACTGCTGCAAACCGTAGCTCTGACATGGGTTTAGAATCACTTCAGACACAGAAGACACTTCCTGTGTGTAGTCAGAGGTGTGCGGCGTTGCAATGTGTTTAACTGTGGTGTGTTGCAGCGGAGCCACGCTACAACATGTACCCCGCTGTGATCGGAGCAGCCATAGGTGGGATGCTGTTTGCAGCTCTTCTCACGGTGCTGCTGCTCATCTTCATCATCCGCAACCGCCACAACCATCCTCGTGAGTCCCACACCAAAACCACCTCCCGCTGGACGGTCTCACCACAGAAACAATGTGTGTGTTAATGTTGTGTTTCCTCCCACAGGACTGCACAGCATGCTGTTTGGACTGTGAGTATCTGAAATAGGACAAACCCTTCTTTGTGTATTTGTCCTAAATTACTCGTCCAGACACCTCAGGTCTTGTGTTGACGTTTTTAGGCAGCACAGCCAGTCCAGGGAGAACATCAACTTTCCAGAGGATGAAATGGTCAGAGGCTTAGAAGGAGGGATAGAGGATATTGGTGGATTATCCAGCGCAGGTAAGATAATTTCGCATTAAAACTTAAAGTTGGAGCCTACATGTGAGAGTTTCTCCAATGAACTGGATTCAACTTTTTAAAAATTAATATTAATTTACATTCAGTAGAAACACCTTTTAACCTTCTGAATGTGAAGAAACCACAAACTGAACGTTGGTTTCTTGCAGGTCCAACCATTTCTATTCCTCGGGCCTCCTCACCCCTGAGTGCCACTCCCACCCCCAGCCCCACTCCTAGCCAAGCACCTCCCCCCGGCGATGACGAGCCCGTCAGCGTCACCATCACGGTCAAATCTACAGGCTGAAGACGACTGGAAGCTTTCAACAGGAAGTTTACCAGGACTGTGGTTGTAGACGCTGTGATCCAAACATTAGCTACAAACATTGAGTCACTTTATCCACAAGCTCGTGTATAGATTGTACACATGGTGGTGGTGGTGGGGGGTGTTTAAACCAGTGGTCTGCAGCAGCTCTTTAAAGCTTTAAATAAAACTAACATGCGACTAAATTCTAATACTGTAGTTGTTGTACCCACAACAGTACAGGATAGTTTTACCTGTTTTATTTTAATGTTTTTGGAATTACTTTAGGATGAATTGTTTGGAAGAAATATGTTGAGTTAAATTGATAAGACAGCACAGTGGCGCAGTTGGTAGGGCTGTTGCCGCTCAGTGAGAAGGTCGCTGGTTCAAATCCCGGCCCGGGATCTTTCTGAGTGGAGTTTGCATGTTCTCTCTGTGCATGCATGAGATTTCTCCAGGTACTCCGGTTTCCTCCCACACAACAAAAACATGCATGTTAGGCTGATTGGCAACTCTAAATTGTCCCTAGGTGAGAGAGAGTGAATTTTTTTTTCCATCCATCTTCTTCCGCTTATCCGGGGTCGGGTCGCAGGGGTAGCAGCCCAAGTAGGGAGGCCCAGACTTCCCTCTCCCCAGCCACTTGGTCCAGCTCCTCCGGGGGAATCCTATGGAGTTCCCAGGCCAGCCGAGAAACATAGTCCCTCCAGCGTGTCCTGGGTCTTCCTCTGGGTCTCCTCCCGGTGAGATGTGTCCGGAACACCTCACCAGGGAGGCGTCCAGGAGGCATCCTAACCATAGATGAGGGTAGGAACGTAGATTGATCGATAAATTGAGAGCTTCGCCTTTTGACTCAGCTCTCTCTTCACCACGACAGACCGGTACAGCGCCCGCTTCACTGCAGACGCTGCACATATCTGCCTATCGATCTCGCACTCCCATTTTTCCCTCATTCGTGAACAAGACCCCAAGATACTTTAAACTCCTCCACATAGGGCAGGACCTCCTCCCTGACCCGGAGAGGGCACTTTACCCTTTTCCGGCTCAAGACCATGGCCTCGGATTTGGAGGAACTGATCTTCATCCCGCTGCGTCGCACTCGGCTGTGAACCGCTCCAGCGAAAGCTGTAGATCACGATCTGATGAAGCCAACAGGACCACATCATCTGCAAAAAGCAGAGAAGCAATCCTAAGGCCACCAAAACGGATCCCCTCAACACCTTGGCTGCGCCTAGAAATTCTGTCCATAAAAGTTATGAACAGAATCGGTGACAAAGGGCAACCTTGGCGGAGTCTAACTCTCACCAGGTAGTCTCATTGAGCCACGAGAACTCAGAGCTGAGTGAAGCTGACACCCCACCCACTTCACTCAGCTACTGGAGACCTGTCCAGGGTGTCCCCCGCCTCTCGCACAGCGATAGCTGGACATGGGCACCAGTGACCTCCCGTGACCCAAAAAGGAAGAAGCAGGTAAACATGATGGATGAACATTAGTAATAAGGATAAAAAAAACAAGTTAATGAAAGTATTTGTAAATTAAAATTTCAATAAGTCACAATTACATATTCAACAAACTGGCCTACTTTATATATTCACATTAAGTTTTTTTTTTCCCACAAATAAAAGGAGAACTCACGTGATCCAGCAGAGCTCTGTTTAAACGCTGTTAAAGATTGGTAGAAACGTTTTTATGTTCTTTACATTAATTTAGTCATTTATGGTTTACTAATTAGTAAAAATAAAATAAAATCAATAAATGTTCTAAAACATTGTATATTTTTTTTGTTTTACAATGTCACATCTGACTGGAAATTCTCCCTCCAACCAACTCGAAGTGGCCCATGGGCCACCAGTTGATAATCAGTTGTAGCAGGTTCTGCAGCTCCGAACACGTTTTATGAAGTGAAGGAGCAGAAATGGCTCTTGATGGTGACGGTTGCAGACCCCTGGTTTAAACTACTGACTTTAGCCCCTAACAGGTTTTCATCATCCCTTTAAGTTTTAATTTGCAATAACGTCATAAAAATAATATTAGTGTCTAAAATAACCATTAAAGACATACTGAAGGTTTCAGCATGATTTATCACACACTACGTGTTTTAATAATTTATTCAGCTTTAAATATTACACTTAATAAAACTGTGCATTTAACTCTGATGGTGTTTACTTTCTTAAAATTAAAAAAAACAACAACTTTAAAGCAACATCAACGACAAGAGGGCTGGATTTCTACTCCAGACTCGGAAGTCCAAGAACAAACGGGTTCCTCTTGGTGAGAACGAGCACAGAACATGTAAATATGTACAGCTCATCTTCATGCGCCTGTTTTGGCTGCTCACACGGTGAAGAGTAAAACCTTCTGAGTGCTGACGACGTCGCCCAGTTTCTGTTTTATCTTCACAAAGAGACGCTTGAACTCCAGACCGTCGCCCTGAAGAATGAGCAAACATCACACAGAGGTCAATGTCTCTGACGGAAACACGACGCTCCTCGTTTTCTGCTCTGCTGAATCAACAAACTCAAACCTTTTTATACAAATCAACAGCTGGAAGCATGAGGAGTACAAAGTTCTGCAGGGGTCCTAATTATAATCCTTTCCTGGTGGATGAATGAATGTAATCCAGACTAGATAAAGTCAGACTCTTAAGGATCCACGTATCTAATGCTAATGGAATATTAAAATAAAATACCATAATTACACCTTTTTGAGAAGCTCTGACCCACCTTGGACAGCCTGAAATCCAGCAGAACTCTCTGATTCATCTCCAGTAAGTGGACCTTAAAGATGAGTTTGCTGTTGCGTTTGTCCAGCGTGCTCACGGTCACCTTCAGGACACACAGAGACTCAGTGAGCCGAGGCGAGGCTGCCGTTAACCGTCATCGGACAAGGACTTACCTGTTTGGTGCAGGTGAGTTTAAAGGCGATTGCCATGCCGTCGCAGACTTCCTTCAGGGCAGATAAGGAGGCATCGGCGTTCACGCTGGTGAAGAATCGGGTCATTCTTCTCACCAGTTTCTGCCAGGGAGACTTTTCCCACAGAGAAAAACAAATTTTAAACATTTCAAATCAGAAACAGAACTTAGCTAACAGCATAAAGTTCTTACTGTCGGGATAAGACCAGCAATAGATACATATTAGAGCTGGGCGATATCTCGATATTTTTAAAAATATCGATTTTATTTTTTTCGATATAAAACGGGACTATATCGATATAAGCAATATTTTACTTGGAAATCCGCCTGCTCTTTTGTCTCCCACGCAGCCCCCCCTCCTTGAATAAAAACCCACACAGCCCCGTACGGTGGCCCTGAGGTGTAAAATGAACAACATTTGAAAAAACAGAATAACATAAAAAAAATAAAAAAAAAACACAAGAAAAACAACAAAAACACAACAAGATTTGAAAAAACGGAATTACATTAAGCCAAAAAGGAAATGGCCAAAACAGAAGTAACCGGAATCATATTTCAAAAAACTGAATTACATTTGAAAAACGGAATAATTAAAAACATTTTTTTTTTATTTTTCTAATGTAATTCCGTTTTTTAAATATAATTCCGTTTTTTCTAATGTAATTCCATTGTTTCAAATGTGATTCAGGTTTTTTTTCAAATGTGATTCAGTTTTTTTCAAATGTGATTCCAGACACTTCCGTTTTGGCCACTTCCGCTTTGGTTTAATGTAATTCAGTTTTTTCAAATTTAATTCCATTTTTTCAAATGTTGTTCTGTTTTTTCAAGTGTTGTTCATTTATACCTTAGGGCCACCATAGCCCCCTCCTTCAGTCGCACTCTGTCTGTTTCCTACTTCTCCAGGAGGTGGACGGGAGACGTTTAGCATAAGTAAACACGGGAGAAGAGCAGCTTAGATGCTGAACAAAAAGACAAACAATGGCTGTTCTTTCAGAGATGGTTTGGATTTAAATCGTCAGATGAGCAGCAGGAAAATGTTTTCTGTAGACAACGCCAAAAACAAGTCCCGATACTCAGCATTATGAATCTTTTTTACCATTTAAAACAGCGTTATAAGTGGAGTATGAAGCGTGTGAAGCTGAAGTCCAACAGACACGGTCTTTAGCGGCTAACAAAACGGCTAAAGTTAGCTGTCTTGTTAGCCACTAAAGACCATGTCTTTGACGATATGATTAGCCACTGCTTTATTAATGTGGCGCTACCTCCTCTCACTGTAAGACATGAAAATCTGTGTACAGAAGTTCTTTTTCTGCTCGTCCAGCTTCACGCAGCCTCCTCCTCCCTCGCTGAATACAAGCAGCCCCTCACTGCTGCTTCACACACGCTCACTAACATGAAGGCGGCACAGATGAAGAGGATTATTATGTAACGTGTAAATAAATGTCTAAAAAACAAACTTTAATATATGTAAATAGTTTATTTTTTAGACATTTATTTTGTAGAGTTACAGCTTTTGTTAATAAATGTGCCTGTGTGACAACTGGGACAAAGCTTAGACTCAGAAATATTTTTTGTTATTACTTTATGGAAAGAAAAAAAAATGGATATATATATTGTATATCGCTATTTTTCTTAAAATATCGAGATATTAATTTGGGTTCATATCGCCAAGCCCTAATACATATGTGTGAATACATTCATGCAGCACCCAATCTGCGAGTCACCTGACTGGCCCCCGGCGTGCTGACCATCTGAGTCCCCAGCAACATGTGCTCAGGTTTGGTCGGCTGGGAGAGGCTGACCTGTCCGTCAGCGGGGCCGATTAACAACATGGCCTCCCAACCGCCTGCCGCCAAGTCCGGCTGCGAGCTGGAAAACTGCATCCTGTCGTCGCTGCAGGAAGACAACGAGGACATTCAGACGGAGACAAGATGTCTGCTCCGAGGTAAAAAGATGGACACAACCAGCCTCCGACCTGTTCGCCCGAGATTTAAGATCTACTTCAGCTCGAAGAACTTTGTTCCCTCCTGATCTCTGAGAACCTGCCGACACACAAAGACGAGAACATCACCTAACATTCGTTTTAAAAAGCCTTAAAAATAATGTGATAACTTCATCAGAAGGTAGAACTGTCCCTTGGCTGTGATGATTTTATGTCTGCGTCGACACTGACGACACTTGCCTTGAGTAAACCAGCGCTCTTTCTTGATGTCAGGAACTGAGATCCGTGCATCTGGATCAGGGTGTAATATTTTGGATAACAAACCTGAGGAAATGAGATGAAGCAAAACCCAAAAAAGATCTTAAAAAAAAAACAACTTACTTCTAAAAGCATAGCTCCTTAAATTATTACGGTCACTGAGATGAACTCGCATTTTAAATATTAGCTCCTTAAATTATTAGTAAAATGCTAAAATTGTTGTTCAGTTTGACAGCTGGTGCAGGAATTTTTACACAACTTCACTGCAGATCTAATCTCTCATTCTAAATCTATTTTGTTGTTCACATGAATTAAAACAGAATATTTTTATTCTTCCTCTTCTTCTGTAAAACGTGAGTTTTTACCACAATAAATCTTAACAGTTTAACTTAATGTTGCACTGTTCAAGTAAAATGTGATGAAATGAAATTAGGGATGCACGATATTATTGACATGGTATCGTATCGGCTGATATTAGCGATAAAGTTAAATATCGGCCATTCCATCAAAATAACTCACCGATATAAAAGGCGCTGCTTAAATATCGGTATATAAATATGGTGCAGTTTTTGTATGACAACCCACTGACAAGGATGCCTGCAGCGCCAGCACGTTATGACATGACACGCACCGTTTAGATTTGTAAAAATTTACAAATTTACACTGTTCAAGTGTTGTCATCATGTTAGAGAGTAAATGTCCTGAATAAATGTGACATTAAACATAATCCAAGTTGAAGTGTTACATCATTTTCATCCCCCTTTTTGGCATCTGTGTTTGGTAGCAGGTCAAACTAACAAAGACCATGCAGAATAATGTAGTATTTTAATTCCACAGCAGAGAAAGATATGTCGTCTCTGTAAGCAGGTCTAGGGGGAAAAATATCGGTATCGGCCAAATAAGTTTTAACATATCGGCCAAAAATCCAATATTGTGCATCCCTAAATGAAACATTGAATAATATTCTTTATAGCTCAAGTTTTGAACTTACTAAGAGGCAGAGGTTGTATCTTCTTCCAGGGAGGTAGGTACGTTTTCTTCTGAAGCCAGTCTGAGAACTCCTGACAGCTGTCGGTCGGCTGATCCCAGGGCAGCTCTGAACAAAAACATGTTTCCTCATAAAAAAAACACACGGTGTGGTACTGCCTCGACTCCAGGACGACTGCACCAACGTACTGCACAATCATACACGTCAGTAATGCACAACTGAAGCATTCTTTGTTTTTACAGTGTTTTCCATCGAGCCAGGTGTTTAGAACTCTTACATTAACAACAGGTGAGCGAGCACCTCCGTGAACTGACAGACATTTTACTGCTCCAACTAAAACCACCTGCACAGCTTCGGTGGTTTAAAATCGAACAAGGATCAGTTATAAATAAATGTCTTCTTGCTTAGACTAAAAACATCCTGAACTACATTATGAAGTATGCTTTGGCTGCACTCAGACGACGTCTGGCTGCTTTCTACAGAAAACTGAAACCTTTTGTGTCATAACGTGCAATTTCTCTGGTTTATTTGTTTTTATAATCTTTACTCTCCCTGACTGGCTCAGCTGTTTCATAAAAAGAAATAAATCTTCAGAGACAGAGCTTTGTCAAATAGTTTACTTTGACTCGTGCTGTATAGCTTTATTTGATTTTAAGTTGGAACAGCAGGTATTGATCCAGACGAGAGGAAATTAAGATCAAAACATAACAAAGGCACAGAATACAAGGTAAATTAAAAAAACCCTAAAAACTATTGGTAGAAAAGTACCAAAGTACTGAAACTGTTTTCTGTCAGAACACAGCAATCTAAACCAGACATACAGTGCCTATAAAAGTAATCACCCCCTGGATGTTTTAGGCTTTTATTTCTGTCATAAACTAATCACGGTAAATGTAAATTGGGCTTATGTACAAAATTAATCATGATTAAAACCTCAAATGTCAAAGTGAAATCAGATTTCTACAGTTAAACAATAAAACGTAATGTAAAATTAGCGACTGCATAAATATTCACCCCTTTAAAGTGCCTGTCCTCAACTCGGAAAAGATGAATGAAATGCACAAGTCACAGGAGACGAAGGATTTCAAGGTCCTGAACATCCTCAGGAGTTCTGTTCAATCCAGTATCTCAAAAGAATACGGGACATGTGTAAATCTACCAAGAGCAGGCCGTCCTCACAAACAGAGACCGTGAAGAAGGAGAACAGTGAGAGACCACCAAGACCCCTGAGACCCTTCTGAAAGAGACATACAACTATTGCTCTACTTCTGGGGTCTGCAACCTGCGGCTCTGGAGCCACAAGAGGCTCTTTGGGTCCTCTGCAGCGGCTATAAGCTTAGATCAAAACTAACATAAAACTGAAGTTTAATGGTCGTTGTACAAACAACAAGAATTGTCTAGTTTTAGCAGTTTTCCGGTCATTTCTTTTGCCAGTATGTGAATAAAACTCGACAACATTGTGTTAGTACCGTATTTTCCGCCGTACATGTTGCTCCGCCCTATAAGTCGCATCAGTCCAAATATGTCTAATAAAGTGGAAAAATCCATAAATATGTTGCTTTGCCGTATACGTCGCATCTATTATGCGTAACCGTTGACGCGTTGCGTTTGTTACGCGTCACCGCGGACAACCGGGAAATGTGGGCCGGTGTTGTACCAAAAATGCATGGGCTTCCAAATGGCGGTAGCGTGCACAGGAGGACTTTAACAAGTTAACACTTAAACAAATATTTGTTTGTTCAAAATTATAGTAAATGTGTGTCTCAGTCTAATGTCTGGTTAATAAATGCACTTTGACGGTCAAATCAGCTGTATTTCAAAAGCCGATACGCCGAAGTAAACGTGTGCACGCGATGAGTCGCTGTGCAAATTTAACAAGATAAACGCCTAAAAACAATTATTTGTTTGCTCAAAATTATAGCAAAGGTGTGTCTCAGTCTAATGTTTGCTTAATAAATGCACTTTAATGGACAAATCAACCGAATTTCAAAAATAGTTTCACTGCCTCAGGGCTCCTGGGAGCGCGCAGAGGGAGGAAAAAAGAAGGAGGAATACAGCTCGTTTCTTCAAAATTTAACAAGAAATGCACATAAACAATTATTTGTTTGCTCAAAATTATAGCAAAGGTGTATCTCAGTCTAACGTTTGCTTAATAAAAGCACTTTAATGGTCAAATTAGCTGCATTTTGCCGGGGCGGTGCAGCTGGTTTAACTACAGAACAAAGCAGAACTGCAGCAAGCAGAACAAAGGTGGGGGTAATATGGCAAGCCGATTGTCTCAATAGTAGTTGGTGAAGATTCTCAGTCATTCAGGACATGGTAAATTCAAAAAAAGTTCAAGAAAATAAACAAAGTATAATAAATAAAGTCCAGCTTTTTTTGTCTTGAACTTTTTTGAATTTGTCATTATAGCCACGTTTACCTATTACATGATACAACGACATGCCATACAGCTACTACTACTCTGCTCCCATCTAGTGGCTGAATGTGGTACTGCTTTTTTTTCCAGTCAGAATGAATGAAAACAGTTATATCTCAGCCAAAAATTGGTTTATAAATATAGGAAAAAATCCATAAATATGTTACTTCAGCCTATAACTCACAGGGCATGAAAATTATGCAAAAAAACTGACTTATACAGCGAAAAATACGGTAGTTTGTTAGCCACTTCTTTTAGCTCACTTTCAGTGTTACGGTGTGATCTTCTTCTCAAATCCACCAATTTTTATTTATTTTTTGGTGGTGTGTGTGTGTGTGTGTGTGTGTGGGGGGCTTTTAATACAACCTTTAATGCAAGTTGCTGACAAGAAACACTGTATGTTGAGTCAACTTGATAACAATAAAAATTAAAGAAAAAAACGAAGTCAAAGTAAATGGAAGTATTTAATTTCAATTTAAAGTTCAATTACATATCCAACAAACTGACCTAATTTTTAATTTTATGCTTTATTACTTCATATTAGGATACTTTATGAACTGTTTCCACAATTAAAACAAAAATTCACATAAGCCTGCATACTTGTGTTTGAATTTTTATAAAATTGGTACAAAGTTATTGGTATTTTTTTTCTTCTTTACATAAATCCAGTCTTTTCTTTTGCCCTAAAATAGAAAAACATTAAATTATTATTAATATTTATTGATATTTTAATTTTATAATATCACACCTACTGGCCGGAAAAGCCCCCTCCAACAGGCTTGAAGTGGCCCATGGGCCACCAGTTGATAATCACAGTTGTAGCAGGTTTTGCGGCTCCAAAGACATTTTATTTAGTGTGCAAAGGGACAGAAATGGTTATTTTGATCATAAAGGTTGCAGACCCATGCCCTAGTTGATCGGTCTGAGGCAAAAAGAAAGACACTGTTGAAGAAAACTCAGATTAATCTTAACCAGAGTCTCCAAGGATGGTAGACAAACTCTAGTCAAGATTTAACCAAAAAAGTACACTAATATAAAAATAACAATTTTGTTGTACAAAAGCACAAACCACTGATTACAACTATTTTGTAAAGTACACACACGAGTTCCCTGGTTAAGGCTCCTGTTGTCAAAATGCACCTTTGGTGCTCTTACCTCCAGCCAACATGGCGGTCAGGACGATGCCACAGGCCCAGATGTCTGCAGGCTGAGCTCTGTACTCTGATTGGCTGAGAAGCTCAGGAGCGACGTAGGGAAGAGTCCCGCAGAGACGGTTCAGAAGGCGCTCTCGCCCTTTAAACCGAAACATGGTGGCCAGGCCAAAATCTGTCAGCTTCAGGTTGTCTATAGGTAAAAATAAAAAATACACATTTTATGCGGTTAGAATAAATATTTGAAAAAATATCAACTCAGCGACACGCATTCTACCTGCTCACCTTTATCATCCAGCAAAATATTCTCAGGCTTTATGTCTCTGTGGGTGATGCCAAGGCTGTGGAGGTACTCCTGTGAAGAAGCAGCCAACAAATGAAGATAAGCCAGAAACAGGAAACAATATTTAAACCTAAATTGAATCCACTCACCACAGCTGCTATCAGCTGCTGAAAAAACCTGTGAGCATCCGGCTCTGGCATCCCCACATCAGGCTCTAAAGTGACAGACAATTAAATTGCATAAAGTAAAAGAAATAATGAAAGCCTAAGAATAACGATAAATAAATAAAAACAGTAAAGTTGTATCGTTGAAACTACCGATACGGTCAAAGAGCTCTCCTCCGGTGCAGTACTCCAGGAAAAGATAAACACTCTGCCCCTCCTTCCGGTGACCAAAAAACCTCACAATGTTGGGGTGGTTGAGTATCTAACAAAGAAAAGTACACATTTAAATATCAAAATAAACTCGGATCAAAACAGTGGTTAAAGGCTGTGCTGACAGGATATGGTCTTAAAAGCACCATTGAACAGAACTCCTAAAAACCAGCTGCCCACCTTATGGACGCACACCTCCTTCTTGACGTTGTCGGCACACTCTTTAGACTGAGACGTATCGATGACCTTCACCGCGACGGCCTCTTCGGTCTGTCTGTTCACCAGCAGCCTCACCCTGACAAAAAAAACACACCAACTCCATCAGAACTTTACAAATATTATTTATTACTCCAGTTTATTAAACTGAGTATTAGAGGTTCAAATAATACACAGAACTGTGCAAAAGTCTTAGATCAACTCTTATTTCTTCATATGTTGTTTATAAAATGTGATCAATTTTGTAATCATTGCATAAAATAAGTTGACATGACATTTAAGAAGTCTTGAGCAAATGTTTTTCCATCACCAAAAGTTCATGCTCAATAATCCAGGTATAAAATACAACAATATGAGGTCATCTGAACAGTTTCTTTTTTAAGCTGAGATTCAATTCAGTTCAGTTTAGTTATATCACACCAAGTCACAACAGAAGTCATGTCAGGGCACTGAACAGAAACATCCATATATAAAAATAATAAGTTAACATTATTTATCTGAGGAGCAGACTGCTTTAAATTTAACTCCATCACAGAACTCTCATCTTGAGCAAGCATGAAGGCGACAGTGGAAAGGAAAAACTCCCTCATGAGGAAGAAACCTCCAGCAGAACCAGGCTCAGGACAAGCGGCCATCTGCTTCGACCGGCTGGGTTTGAAAGGAACAGATACACAATGGCAGGTCAAGGTTCATCTGATGTAGTTAGTTTTATGTTTTTCAACTGTCCAGTTTCCTCATTTCAGAATCTACAAGAATAGAACAGAAAATGTATGAAAAGCAGCCAAAATCCCAAGAAAACCATTTAAAGACATTAAGTCTCATGATCAATAATCCAGGTAAAAAATCCAACAATGTTCAGTCAGATAATTTGGACAGTTTCTTTTTTTTTTGTTGAAAAACGTTTCGCCCTCCATCCGAAGGGCTTCATCAGCCTGAGGAGTCACAAACTGTTTCCCCCACTAATCAGCACACTCCTACAGGGGACCAACCAGTTTGCAGGTGATAAGATGGTTTCTGGGGGCTGTCCTCTCCCCTGTCCACTCCTTCCAGGCAACACAGCCAAAGTGGTTCAAGACATCAAGGTTCATGCTCAGTAATTGAGGTAAAAAAAAAAAAATAATAATCCAACAGTGTTCAGTCACGTTTAAACTTGACCTTCATAACAACCTGGAGAACCACAAGATGCTCCTAAGTCTATTCAGCTAAAAAACACTTTAAATGTTTAAAAGAAAGTCTGGCTGATTGAAACAAAAATATTAAGAAATGTGTGTTGGTTTTAACAGCACCGACTGTTACTTCCGTTCAGGTAAAACTTTATTGGCTTTGTTGAGAAAAAGCAAAATAATACTGTATGATGATTCTTACTCTCCGTAGGCTCCTTCTCCCAGAGTCTGAACCAGGTCCCAGTCCTGCACGAACGGGACCGCCATGATGCTGCAGAAAACACAGAGACAATCTGTTCCAAACTAACAGTCAATAAGGAGTTTCATACACTGACATTTACCAATTTATCTAAGCTGACACTAACGAACCCATAACACTTGTTGATTTCCGATATTCACCGAATTATGACCGATGCAACAAAAATAAAAACATGGCGGTTAAGTCACTGTTTAAAATCACTTCCTCACCCGAACAGCCGTGTTCCGACTCTGTTTACTAAATGCTGAGATCCGCAGAAGATTAATCTAACCCATGTGTAGCAAAAATCTACGGGAATAAATTTGGCGCCTTGTTATTTTGCTCAAGGTAAACGTCACTTCCTGTTTATTCTTCTTCGTCTTCTAATTAACGGCAGAGTCGACACTAAAACTGCATAATACTGCCCCTTAAAGGTCAGGCGGGAAAATGCAGAAAATTCGTTTTTTTTTTCTTTCTTTCTTTCTTTCTTTCTTTCTTTCTTTCTTTCTTTCTTTCTTTCTTTCTTTCTTTCTTTCTTTCTTTCTTTCTTTCTTTCTTTCTTTCTTTCTTTCTTTCTTTCTT